ATATATATATGTGGGGAAAAGTGCGTTTTTAAGGATATCTTTGGCAAGAATATATGCAGTTCTTTGTGCAGGAAGGAGGGATGTGTTTGTGTGTGTGTGTGAGAGAGAGAGATACCATCCAGCTGCTGACAACGGCAGTGGGATTACAACAAAACATATGCTGGGCTTAACTCGCGCAAACTCAAATCTCAAATACCATGACTGCATTTAAAAACCAAAGAAAAAAAAAAAAAACAGAGAGTCTTTACTATCCCTTTCGTAAGGAAAAAATATCAACACTAGGTCCCCACCAGCCCCAGGACCTGGGCGATCCTCAGCACCAGCTGACGGTCTCTCCCGGGGACAGAAAGGGTAGTTACACCTAAAAATGTCACTTAAAAAAGGAAATAAAAGGAAAAAAAAAAAAAAGTGCCTTTAAAGGGAGCTGACAAACACCCAGCTACATCATTGGAAGGTGATGTTAAAAAAAATATAATCATCGGACAATTTTGTTAGTGTTTGAGATTTGGGTACGGTCTAAATCTTCAGCTACTGGGTTAGTGGGAAGCTGTGAGTGGCTCAGGGCCCCACGCTGGCGTGATGCTATCGGCAGGTATCTGCTGGGGTCGGCTTCTACACGACATCTCTGGGGTGCTTAGATCTGCTTCGTTTGTATGGGGAGAAAAAGACGAATGGGAGTTTCAAGCACCAGTTTCCGAGGCAGCAGATAAAAATAAAATTACATTATTATAATCTCTTTTCTTAGCAGTGAGAAAACCAAGTCTGAAAAATAGAGACTTTCAAAAATATATCTTTATATATCTATGAACACAGTGTTTTCTCTAATCGGTGAATGGCAGGGTGAGGAGATTACGGGTGAGATTGTCTCTCATCTCGCTTGAATTTCGCAGAAGGAGGGAATCACTTTTGGGAAGCATCAAAAATGAAAAGGTCTCTGCATCTGTGCGGCCAGGAAGCCGGAGAGGAGGAAAGTCCCCCCGGAGCTCCCTGTCCCACTGCTGTCTTGCAACCAACTCCCCTCTACGCATCCTTTCACGCTCGCCTCAGAACATCAGTCCAGCCTCTGGCCACGCCAGGCCCCTCCGGGCGCCCACTCCACTCGCTCCCCGCACACACGCACACACGCACACCGCTCGCACGCACGCTGCCCCGACACGGGGCCCCCGCGCCTCTTCCCCCATCCGTATTTTGCCTTGCTCTGGATTTTTAACGTGCAGGTGTTTCCCTGGGGCAGGGGAGGGGCAGATATAATGGGGGAGATATAATGCACAGAAAGCAATATGTCAAAAAATAAATATTTTCGGAGTGTAAGTTTAACCTTTTTTTCCTCCTTAAAATTTTGTTAGCTTACAGTATTTCATCAGTATAGCTCGTATATATATTATAGCTATCAAGGCAAGGGCGGTCCAAGGGAGACAAGCTCTCCGGGGGGGACTGCAGTGCTATGTTTCTAATTTTTGCCCCCAA